AGTTGGTGTGTTGTTCAATTCTATATTCCAAGCACAACATGAATTCTAAAGTCAACTTTTTAAATATATTCACCTCTAGTGATTTGTAATTGCTGCTTTCTTTGCCTCTGAAATAGTTGATTTAGAGTTCTTCACTGCTTGGAAAGACGCCTTGTGAGGCTTGGTGCGTGCTAGTATTAATGTGCTCTCTAGTATTAATAAGGTCAGGATGGTCAGAAGAGCTCTTTGGAAAACCCAAACTTCACCTAGACAACAGAATATCCCTTAAACTAAGGAATTACAAATTTCAATGGGATATGTTGAAGTTAGAATAAAAAATGTGATTGATGCTTAGCTTCCCTCTATGTTTTCAAATTTTAAGTGTAAGGAAAGAGGGATACAGATTTTTGATACAGAGACAAACCATTGTTTCTAAATGCTATTTATTTTAATTCACAGGACCTGGTTTAGAGACAAGGAAAAATAATAGGCTGCAAGAAAATGTGCATGCATAGTATAGTAGTCTTCTGTATTGTGCTTCTAATGAAATCTGGCTGGAAGAAAATGGCTACTTGCATTATGGAGTATCTCTACATGCAATTTTCCATATTGATTTAGCTGTTGATTTTTTCTGGCATTTTCAGTGTAGAACTGTTCAGAGTAACTTTCATATGTCACATTTGAACTCTAGTTATGGGGAAAGAGTTGCTTTCCCCCAGTGGATTCAGCTGCACCGAGTGTAAGTCATGCAGATGATGTTCAGTAATTTTGACATTAAAAAAATAAGGCACAAGATGATATAATAAAGTACTTCAAAATACACAAAAGATGGCCTGAAAGCAGTTCAAAAATTTGATGCAGGAGTCATTAAGCTTATAAAAATAGCCTTAACTCTTATAGATTATGTTTTGAAGCTGCACGCATGGGTCCGCCTGAGGCTAATGAGGGATCTGGCTTGATTTTCAGTCTAGCTAGTAATGTTTGAGGAAGCCATGTCAGACCCTCATTTGTGGTGGCCCGTAGGCTTTGCCTCTCTACTGTGCTTTCCACTAGCCTGTAATATCTTTCAGCCCGGGCAATTCTCATCACAAACTTGCACCATCATGTGCTGCTCAGTCTGCAAATCCACTTTCATGCTTCCCCTAAGCCTGGCACTTTGCCTTGCTCACAGCAGCGATGCTTCCTTCCCCAACTATTTTAAAACCCATTTTGTGACTACTGCTTCAAAGAGTTGCATCGATTAATAGCATTACGTTACCACTTACTTTTAAAATCCGTTTTGTGACTGCCGCTTCAGAGAGTCACGTCGATTAATAGCATTACGTTACCACTTAATCTTCCCCCTTTTTTTTTTCTTTTCCCTTTTCCTTCAGATTTGTTTTCTTTTTAACTACTGTTGGAGAAAGGGATGCTGTGGTAGTTAGTTATGTTGCACATGACCGTAGCCAGTGCAGGGTCCCACTTTCCCTAAGTCACCGCAAAGGTGCGGGAGGTGGCCCGGTCTGACGGGCAGGGGATTGTGCATGCACACACACACACACACACACACACCTTCTATTTAAACCTGCAGTCTTCTTCTGAAAATACCGTTTTTATTCCCCTTTCTGACCCAGTTTTTCTTTATTTTAATCTTTCTTTTTTTCTTGTTTAGAACTGCAAATTATTAAAAAGAAGGCTTAACTTCAGGAAGTTAAATAGAAGTCAGTATTACAAAATGAAGACTTGCAGGCCCTTTACTTGCTGTCCTGCATTTTAAGATGTGGCTGTCCTATTCTTCCATTGAAGAACAAGCATTTAACATCCTGTGACCGCATGTACATGGGCAAACTACTGATGCAGCAGTGAGCTCCTGTGGAGCTCTGGGGACACCCTGAGAAGGGCCTGTCTCCACCAATACAGATCTCAGTTGCAGAAGCAGAGCAAAATTGAGCTTTTAGAAATGAAGACCGCGAGACTAAGTTCGTGAGGCTGAATCACAGGGTAGCATCAATTTATTTTTATTGAGACTAACCCTTTTTGAAACAGTGAAGTCAATGAGCCCCAAATAATGCAGTTAGGAGAACCAAACGGAAGGAACCAGGAACTGGGCTTGTTTCAGAACATTTTAGTTTTAAATAAATATGATAAATTATAAATAAATAATAATGTGCTGAATAAATAAAATTATTCTGCACATTGTTTAGTCTACCAGTATCAGAAAATGAGCCGTCCGTTGGATGTCTGGAAATACATGCACAGCATTACTAAATGGTTTAATTGGAACATCCGTATCTCAGTTTTCTAGAAGCAGCAAACATTTATTTATCTATAGTCTTCTGCTTTGATGTGTTCCTGTATTGATCAGTAGCATTTTTCTGCACATCTGCACAGCAGCTTAAGAGAGATTCAGAATGTAAATTCAGAATTATTTCCCACAGGCATAATTTAGAATAAGAAAATAAGTAAGCAAGCTGTACTCGCATGTATATATGCAGATGTGTGTATAGATACATAGATAAGGATATGTAAACATATGTAGACATAGATCTCTATATAAGCTGTACTTATATCTGTATATGTATATATTATAAAGAGAAATAAAAGCACAGAAAGGCATAATAAGTGTGCAGCATGACACAACAGGTTAGTTTAGCTTTTGGGGCGGAAGCCCAATCAGTTGTTGATTAAGGTTTTAATGAAAACCCGAGAGAAGAACACTGACAACTCAACTTACCAAAATCTTGCCATTCACTTAATGGTCCCCTTCCTCATTGTTTTTTTTAATATTTATCACAAAATTATGACTAAAATTTTGTTGTTGTTACTCTGTTGACTCTTAGAGTGTAGGATATTAGTAGGTAATATAGTAATAATGAAAAGAAATAAATTCAGATGATGAAGAGACAAGGAGAACAAAAGCCATAGACTGAAACCAAATCTAAATGCGCGGCCTACCACAGTGGCAAGCACTTATTTTGCCCATATTTTAAACAATGCATTGCAGAATTGCCAGGATGTACTTGGCGGGACAGACAGTTGGTAAACGTGACTGTAGTACTGAAAAATTACCTTTTTTGTGCACCTAAATTCTCTTCTGACCAGCTGTCCATATCTCCAGCGAAGAGCTGAGCGCAGGTTCGGCAGGAAGCTGCGGGAGCCGCGTGGGCTCTGTGCAGCATTCAGAACATTCATCCCCGTGCAGGTGGGACACGGCAGCTACTCTCCTTCCAGCCCTGCCTGCTGCTGCTGAAGGGAGAAGCGAGGCCGTTCTGATGCAGCGGATACTCTGTTCTGCCCCAGGGCTAAAAGGCAGAGTTCCATCTTCTGATGGGCACTTATTGGAATCTGTGATACTAGTACGACTCCTATCACCATTCTGTAAATGCTTCATGGTTTTTAATGTGGCTGTACTGTGAGCAGCTCTGTGAGTTAGGATAAAAACGAATGGGCCCTTTCTCTTTTTGTGAAATGTATCAGTATCTTACAAGTGGGGAATGAGGGTTGAAAAGGCAATTTCAAGTGAGCCTCTCTAGGAGATGGCATTTGAGTCATTAATTTCTTTGGTTTCTTTCCAAATCCCAACCTCTCTTGCATAGGCTATGGAGCCCAAGGTTATATATAGTATGTAGTAGAGAATAAGTGAATTTTGATCTTTTGGTCCCAAGTGAGTTCTCTGAGCTTCTTTTAAAACCTTTTTTTTTTTTTTGTAGCAAAGTAATGCGCATATAAAATTTCTTCTTATCTGTGATTTCAAAGTATCTGGTATTAATATTTAGTATAGCAAACATGAAAAAATGGTAAGAGCAAGGACCCAGGAATTATATTTGTATGAAGTATGAAGAGTATGAACGGGCAGCCTGATGCTATCCAGCTTTATGTGCCTATGTGCCACCTTCTGTGGGTCTTCCCTATTTCTCAGCCAGCTGTGCTGTTCACTTCCCAGTGCAAAATGCCCTTTCTTTCAGAGGGGAAAAGAAACACTGGCTTTTTCTGATACAGCTGAAATATCAAGCCAAAAAAAAATTGATTGCAAATACATAATTACAGTAAGAGTTCATTAATTTCAAGTAATACCATTTTTTTCATATTTTGATTTTTAGCTAAAGGATAGCATGAGCCTGTTAGACTTGTAGCGAATTAAAACTGGAATGTGCATTTGTGAAGAAAGAAAAAGGTTTGCAGTTTCGTGCTTTCCAGTAATAGAAACATACTTACCACCGTATTGATTTTGCCACAGGTTTTATCAATTTTATCTCTTTTTTGTTTTCAAAATGTCAGTGGAATATTTTCGTTGAAAGTGTTTTAGATGGCAGAAGTTAGGAGCATAGTTCAAGTGTTATACTGGAATTTATTTCTAAGAAATGGAACACTATATGGTTCTGGGTAGACGAGTTGTGAAATAGTAAACTAGGTCAGCATGATAGTTTGGCCTTGACTGTAGACATATTTGTATGTAGTTAATCTGTTTTTGAAAATTTTATACTTTCAGAATAGGAAATGAGCTTGAAAGACAACAGTGAAACTTAAAAATATATAACAAAGCCCATCCAACTTCAACATAAGTGGTGTGATCTCAAATTCTGCTATACAAGGTCAAGGCCACATTTTATAGCTTTCAGTCAGAATTCCTTTCATACAAATTGGGGATTACCCAAATACAGAATTTGGCACAGGGCAGTTTTTTTGAAGACAGAAAATTCACTTTCCCAGGAGTTTGCAAAGCTCTTTCAATGATAATAACTCCTGAACAATCTTAATGCAGAATTCTTCATCTGGCAGCAAAGGCAGACATTAGTGTGGACTGCTTTTAAATACCCATCGTTTTAATAAAGCGATATTTGTGACCTTTATTGTCTGCAAATATAAGAATGTTTTTACTTGAGGGTTTCTTCACAGACCGTTGAAGTTAACCAGGAATCTCTCTGCTGTTTAGTATTTTTTTTTTCATGTGGAGTGACTCTGACTCATATTACAGTTGAGAGCACATTTTTAAGCAATCTGTCATATAATATCCTGGTGCCTCTATTTTTCTTCACCTGTAGGGACTATAAAGAAGATATTTCAAGAAAAGGGCATCTTGGCAGGAGGAGACAGAGCTTTTAAACCCCATCTGACCTTCATGAAGCTGTCAAAATCACCAAAGCTGCATAAGGAGGTGAGCTCACGTTTCATAGCGCTCAGCAACGCTCCAGGAAGTTTCATCTGGAGATAAGTAAATGAGTTGCTTGTGCTATAGTGTCATGGTTTTTACTTCTTTGTAACCAGCTGGAGAGGTAAGATTTTAATACTTTAGAAAATACTAATATTTTAGAAAAAAATAGTTAGACACTGTTTTAACAGTGTAGTCCTGTGAGTACTCAGGTTACTGCTCTTGGTATTCTCAGAACAGTCAAATCATTATCTGTTTTCTTTTATGAAACTGTACGAGGTCAAAGGATAAATGTCCTTGTTCCAAATTAAGGAATTTATATTATATTGTAGGGTATGCACTCATAAAAGGCTGCCTCAGTATATGCAAGCAATTTGTTTGGATAATTTTCTTTTGCTACTGTATGGGAGAAAATATGTAAGCAGTTAACAGGATTCATACTTGAGTTATGCCCAATGTACAGACTGTCAGTTCTTGATGGAATGAACGTTTTGGTGAATTCCCGAGTAGTGATGAAACACATCCAAATTCTCTCTTACAGGAAATTGTTCTTGTCTCTTTATTAGTTTTGTTGGCAAGAAAAATACACAAAGTACGTAAAAGTCAGATAAACTAACAATAATGAGAAACATATAAAAGCAATGCTAATATAACCAGGTACTATTTCTCATTAATCTAACATATATATTATATATATGTAGTATATTTCTTTAAAATGTATTTACTGCCACTATGTGGAATATTTTGTGATCCTCTACAGAACATCAGAAAGTCAGAAAAGTAACTGTCAGAAGAAATATATTTTAAAAAAAGGAAAAATTAAAATATATAATGTAAACATTTTAAATATAGTGTTATTCCCTTAATAACAAATCTAAGGAAATATAGTTACAAATTACAATGAAAATAAACAAGTTTAAAAAATACTAGAGGTGCAAATTTTAGTTATGAATCGGAATTGAGATGCATTAAAAAACTTAGAGGTCATAGCACGTAACTCACTCTGGAACAGAAATAAGGACTTGTCCATAAGTTGTAGATTATGTCATAGTTCTTGTAAGCGCACACAAACTTTTCCTTGTATTAAGTATATACACTTAAGTATATTTTTTTTCTTCACATTTATCTACTGTGCATGAATTATTGGCAAGGATATATACGTTTCTATGTTCTGATATTCACTGCTACTGACAGAACCAGGTCAGTGCCATTTCAAATCATCTTCCTTAGTCCTCCATAACACTGATAATGTGTGTAGTGTTCTTAAGATGCAATTTATACAAAAATATGATGTATTAAAAAGCTGTAAATTATTTTATTGGGACCATTTCCTTGCCAGTCCCTTGTCTGGGTTAAGCATCAGTCTTTACAGTAATTTTTTGTTTCACTGTGTTCATGCATATAGTGAGATAGTTTCATTCATTTACTGAAATAAATAATAATAAATAAGTAATCAATAAAGGCATAAACCAAAAGGAATAACTATATTATAGTAACTTTTATTATAATGTTTAATTGCATTATCAGATAATAAAGTGATACAAAAAATGGAGGAGTGGAAGACAAATACACTCAGAAAAGCTTAGAATAAACAACAAAATAGAGTGTGGTTAACAGTTATAGTTTTTTATATATATGCTAACTTTTAAAACATGTATTTTCTAACTTGAAACAATAGTCAGCTAAACTACCCTATTAATAATGACGTTTAAATTCTGCTCTGATTTATTTTGGGGGAAAAATGAAAAAAACTTTTCTTGTCAAGGCTTAATATATGTGTAAGCTTTTTGAGATGCCTATATTCTGAAAAATTTTTACTTTCCTGAAGTATTATTGATATATACAGAGAAGAGGTCGAGAATTCAAAATGAATTAAAATCTCAAGAAATCACCTTTCTACTTCAAAGGCATATTAAGCTAAAAATAGGAGAAATGTAAATGCCAAAAAAAAGTGAGAAAAAAAGTGGGTAAGAAAGCTCTCTACGAGTGTTATTGTTTCCTCTTCAGTTTCTCAGGGAAAGAACTTCAGCTGCTCAGAAGTGAGAGCAGATTGTCCTTAATGGTCAGCTGGACAATGCTGAGATCAAATGCATTTAGTGCAAAACTCCCCCAGATCAGAGGGTGCCTTTAACCAGTGGGTATCCTTGTGGAAGGAGATAGAGGGAGGTGATTTCTTTGCACATGCTCAGCCCTTTCCACAATTGATTGTTGGGGTTGTAAGAATATTGGATTAGTATCATGTCTCCTAAACAAAGAACACAGTATATATATACACATATATTTTTCCACTGGAAGATTTTTTTCTGTATAGTATTTCTATTCTTGCTTCCCTTACTAGCTTGCTACATGGCAGTAGGTCAGTCACAGCCCCTCTGTTTTTCATTCATGCAGACTGTTTTTTTTTCAGGGAGTATTTTAAAGCATATTTGATAAATGCTGTGTGACATCTTGGGATTCTTTGATACTTAACACTGATGGAACTGCAAATACTATGAAATGGATTTCATAAGTAGGAGATGACTGATAGCTGATTTGCTCTGATGGCCTCTCCTTAATTAGTAAGCCATAAATCTTTAGCCCAGGCAGAGATTTACAAGGAAATTTGCAACAAATACAATTTATGGATATTTTGTTATATACTATATTCTTCTATACAATATTTACTTACAATGCTGTATGTATAATGACTAAATGAGAATGTATGAGGAGCCAAAGTCTGTTTGCATTTGCAGCACTTATATGTGTTCTACAAGGCCAAATTCACCTTTCAGCTGCAATGGTATTATTGTCAAGAGCCTGAATATTATTGTGCGGATAGTATTACTATAATTTAATTGGAAATAGTAGCAATTGCATGATTCAGGAATTTATCCTTGTACTTCTATGTATAATGTGTTATTCTTTTGTCATTGTTGTAGTTTCTTATCAAGATAACACAAGTTACTTATTTTGTAGTATTATAACACATCATAAAGAAGAAAATTCTACATGGAGTCAAAATCAAAGCTCTGTCAGAATTAAAATCTTTTTGATGTTTTCTCACTCATATTCATCTTTTTGTCATCATGCACTAGTCATACCAAATAGATAAGAGGTTTAGTACTAATAATTGTAAAGTTAATTACTTTTTCTTGTATAAATTTTCTGTCACATTTTGTGACAGAAAAGTGTAGCTGATGTCTCTTATTAGACAGTCTCTAAGCAGTTACAGGAAGCTTTGACAGTGGGACAGTAAATCAACCATCTAATGTGTGTTCTGGCTTGTTTAAACGTGGAAGTTTAACCCATTGCAGTTAACCCATTGCAGGAAAGGTCGCTAGCTCTGTGTTAATTATATATCTGCTCTGCTCCAACATGCATTTATTCATGAATATCTGCTGCTTACTCATTCACTGCCTGCTGTTTTCAATAAAGATACTTTGCACCGGCAGGAGAAGCTGAAAGGGAGTCCTTGCCCAGTATTATTCCTTTAACCCCAAGTTTCACTTAATACTTGAAAACAGAATGCAAAATGTCCATCTCTGTCTTGTGTCTCTAGTATAGTTTTCAGTTTCCTGTACTTAGTTTTTCTTTCAGCTCATCCAGTATAGATATGTAGTCTTTGTGTACAGAACATTAATGAGAGTGATTCTTCTCAGTAGAACTAAAGAAATTCTTCTGTTTATCCCTCTGATTCTGACTGCCAGCATTCTTTTTCTAATAATTCTTGGCTTCTCTGTTATTTTGGACAGAAATGCAGGTATAAGAAAAGCTACAGAGATCATTTAACTTCCCTGAATTTCCATTTATCAGTCTCTATTTCACTGGTTTATATTGTGACAGCCATTAGCTGCTGGTCTGCGAGCCGGGAGCATGTACTTATTCAGAATCTTTTGATGCTGATCCTAAAATGTCTGAAACAATCACTTACTGAAAACAATAAACACTTTTGTCTCATGAGAACAGTAGAAATGTTTTGTGACTTTTCTACTTTTTTAATTTTAAGAGCTAAACAATAAGCAGAAGCATAAACTGGTTTCAGGTGATCCAAAAACTGGAAGAGAATGCAACATTTTTGAGTTGGTCATTCTGCTTTGGCAGCACTAAATGAAATACAAGATCTCAGGCAGGCATAGCTGTGCCTTTTTAAAACAAGAAAAAAGAAAGAACATATACTTACAAACATGTTTTTTTACAAGCTAAATGTGGTGCAAGTGAATATTCTTAAGACACCAAATTCTTCTGTACGTGGTAGATACCATATAATCCACGCTCATGCACTCACCCCTCTTACAGAACTGAGGCTGCAGAAGGCAGCACCTCTTTACGCATGAACTCTTCTAAATCCACACTGGGATCATCAAGGTCTAGGCAAAGAAACTTCTCCACAAGAGACTTGCATTTTTCCATCTGGTCCCCTTTTGAAGGGTGATCAACACGTTCAATAGCTTTCCCACTGCGAATCAGTTCTGATATTTCCACTCCTCTTTTTACAGAACTGAGGCTGCAGAAGGCAGCACCTCTTTACGCATGAACTCTTCTAAATCCACACTGGGATCATCAAGGTCTAGGCAAAGAAACTTCTCCACAAGAGACTTGCATTTTTCCATCTGGTCCCCTTTTGAAGGGTGATCAACACGTTCAATAGCTTTCCCACTGCGAATCAGTTCTGATATTTCCACTCCTCTTTCAATAATTTTGGCTGGCATTCCAGCTAATGCGGCAATGTTGGCAGCATGACTGACAGTGGATATGCCCTGTTTAATCTGGTAGAAGAAAATCAGCTCGTCTCCATCTTGGTGGGTCTCCATGGTCAAGTATTGCAGAAGAGGTGTGTTGGGTAGGAGTTCTAATTGCATCAAGCTGTGAAAATTAGTAGAGACAAAGACCTGTGGACACTGGCTTCCTTTATTGATCCAGTACCTCAGGACAGCAGCTAGAAGGGAGAGGCCATCCACTGTGTTGGTCCCTTTGCCAAACTCATCAATAAGTACCAAGGACCTCTCTGTAGCATTGTTTACTGCCTTGGCAACCTGGTTGAGATCAATCATGAAAGTGGAGAGTCCTACCGAAACCGATTCCCTACTGTGGATTCTGGTGTAAATCCCATCGATTGCTCCAATCTCAGCCTCTGCTGCAGAGACATAACTGCCAATTAGAGCCATAAATATTATAAGACCTACTTGCTAAAAATCTTTCCAGATGAATTCGGCCCTGTGATGATCTTTATTCGACCAGTAGCCTCGCCACTGTTCACAGGATTGGACACAAAAGTCTTTGCACATAGTTCCATAAGTGGATGTCGTCCATCCTTGATATGGAAGCCGTGGCGGTGAGTGAAATGTGGCCGGCAGTAAGCGTTCTCCCGGGCCATCACTGCCAAAGCTAGCAGCACATCCAGGTGTGCCGTATACTCAATCACACTGCTGAGCACTTCAGACTTCTCCAGGATCTTTGTCTGCAGCTGGTGCATGATAAGTGTTTCCTGGTCCCTTATCTCACAGTGCAAGTCACCCAGCATGCTGTCTAGCTCCTTTGTCCTAGCACTTCTGTAATGCAGCTTATCCTCTGACAAGAACATGAAGTCCAAGCCTTCAATTTCAAAGTCACTCTTGTCCACCATAGTTGGTAGCCGTGGAATGGAAAGAAGAAACCCAATCAACGGAATGTAGATCACACAACAGGAAGGAATATGGTCGTCCAAGGTCTCCAATTCTTTTCGGGCCACTTCAGTAAGGAAGTCTGACAATCCCATTAGCTTTCGTTTCTTTTCATCAATGGTGGGATCCACATTTGGTCTAACAGTGAAACGGTTCTCTGAGATGCTTGCATCAAAGTCCACCACTTTGCTGATTAGGCTAGCAATGTAGTGAAGATCGTCAGTGAATACACGTGAAATAGTCTGAAAGAGTTCAATAGTGTTGGGTAGAGAACGACATGTGTCTCTGAGGCACACGGCACTGTACACTGTCTTATAGAGTGCTTGCCAGTCACTAACTTTTGTGTTGGAAAGGGTCATTCTTTTTAGAATAAGAGGCACATTTTTTATATTCTTGAGGCAGTCTTGAAGGGTGAGGACTGTTTCATGGTTCTGAGCCAGGAGGAAGAAGTGAATAACATCTAGTCGTTTGTTCAGCTCTGTCAAGTTCCGCGTAGGTCGTGTAAGCCACAGCCTCAGCAGTTTTTCTCCCCACTTGCACCTGCAGCGGTTTAAAATCCCATATAAACTGAATCCTTCTTTTAATCCACTGGACAACTTGTACACAGAAGGATGGATATCACTTTTAAATATCTGCAGGACACAGTAAGTATCTTGGTCCATATTCACAATATCTGACAGCAGAAACTTTTTAAAGGCCAAAATAGGAACTACAACAGAGCTGTCTTCTAGCTCAACCCCAACCCTTCTCCTGTCCAGGAACTTCAGGAGTCCTCCTAGTGCTCGTATCATGAGTGGGCTCTCGAAAGGAATGATTGAGGACAAGTAGAGAATTTTCTCTGTTGCAGTCATATGAGACGGGATAAATGGGAATTGCCTAGATAAGATCCGTTGCTTGCTGACTTCCAGGCCAAAATCTATATTAGGAAACAAGACAATTTCTGGTTTTCTTGTATCTTTCTCGTCACCAGAATCCCTTAGGTCAGTCAGGAATTTGGAAATGTTCTGGTCCTGCTTTGCACTGGTCACTATGCATTGAGGTAGAACTTCCCCAATAACTTTCTGCAGTAGTTTGAGGTCTTCGTTATCTGGTGTGTCAGGCATGAAGTAAATCGAGCAATCTTCTGTGTCATAGTAGGTGATTGCAAGCTGTCCTGCAAACCACAGAACAGACATATATGTCTCAGAATGTTCTGGATCCTCTTCTGGTTCAGGCACAAGCACTGGGGGCAAGAGACGGCTGGTGCCACTCATTCTGTTGGAGAGGGATGTTTTTGTTTACAGCACACCCAAAAAGTCCTGAGAACAGGTCTGTAATGAACAGCAGGAGGTTAAGACTCTTCTAACCCTGGAGAAACTGAGGTGCTACTAGGAATTACAGATGCTTGGATGTTAACAGTTCACGTGAAAAGATATAGCCACAACTACAGCATCATCTTGCTTCCAAGCAACCTGTAACTGAGCTATTACCAGCAATGTTAGTTGCTAGGATAGTTTCATAGGGTTTTTATATATCCTTTATTTTAGCAAGTAGTGTCTTGCCCTTCAAACCCTTCGCAAGGCTTTTTGAATCCTTCTGTGGCCCACTTGGTGTTATAGCCCTAAGTGTGAGGAACAGGAAACCACCTTTTGGTGCTGAGCTGAAAAGTTCAACCGTAATAGGTCCTGTGTATCCTGCGTGCCCCTGCCTGTATGCAGCAGCTCTGCATAGTACCAGTTTCTACACAGACATACAAAGCAGTGCTTCAGGGATCGCCCGTAATCGCCCTCACGCCTCCCTGCTGCTTCCTACCCTGTCTCTTCCTCCCCTCCCCTCAGCCTCCTCACACACAGATTGGGCAGCTCTTCGCAGCTGCCACTGCTGCTAGCAGGCCAGAAGTTTCTCTCGCCCTCCTCCCCTCTGTCCTTCTGCTGCTCGTTGAGCCCCTCTCACAGGAGCACCATGCTTGGCCCCCGCGGCCCTGCTGCTGGCAGCCAGGACATGGCGGCCCTGCCCACACCGCTGCCTGGCGACGCCCGAGGAGCAACCGCTGCCGCCCTGCAGGCCGTGGCCCCAGCCTCCTGTCCCGTCCTCCCCGCTGAACCGGGCTGCTGAGCCTGGGGCTGTCCTGCTCCTGCCTCCTTCCCCCAGAGCAGCTTGCTGCCTCCGTGCGCCGCGGAGCCCCTCGCTGAGGGGAGAAGAGACGGCACTCAGGCCAGCAGAGGATGGAGGTTGGACCTGGAGCAGCCCGGACCGGCACCTCGTTTTGGCTCCATGTTAGCGCCATGCAGCAGTGTTTTTCCAGTAGCTTTCTGTAGCAGTGCTTCTCCAGGGTGTGCGTCTTCCCTCTGTCCCTCCAGCAGCAGCCACTAAAGTGCCCCATCGCCCGCTCTCGCCCGAGGGGAGCGTGTCACCCTAATCAGCATCTACAGCTTCCCACAGGATGCAGCTCTTCTGCTTCATCTCTGCTCTTCCAGACTCTTTGAAATGAGAAATGAGCTGCAATCTTCCCACTCATCTGTACTGTTTCATCCCTTCACTATCAGCATCTCATTGCAACCACTGCAAACAGTGCTCCATAAATTGCTCCAAGATACTAAAAATACCATCCAATTCCCATGACTGCTTCTCCAAATCTCTCTCAATCGTATGTCACAAGCAGAACTTGTTTCCTGAGCATTCAGTGTTTGATTCACATGCTATGGGTCTGTTTTTGACAAGCAGCATCCCTGCCTTTTGTAAATGCTGTTTATTTTGAGAGCATGAAGTGGTAACATCCATCTTTTTCTCATCATATTCCATGAATAGCTAAGGGTTGACATCTTGACAGGTGTATCCTAGCTGAAAAGGTCTATTTTTGTTACTCACTGATGTCTAAGTGTATTTCAAAGAACTGTCATCGAAAGACCAAAGAATGATGATTTATTTCAAAATACCTATAATCCTTAACGACTAATCTAGCTGTAGAATTTAGATAATGAGAGTGTTGAATAAATGTAGAAGCTAAAAACATCAACCACTAGATGTCATCATTTCAAAGATCAAGCAAACAGAAGAACATTTCTGACCTTAAGTAGAGGGGAGTTTAGGGGACAGAGAACAAAATACTGAGGTACTTACCCAAACCAAGTTCTTCCAAAGTCAGTATATTTTTATGGAACTAAAAACATATATTGTGTATGAGGAAATGTGAGCAAAGCATCACAAGAAATGAGCATTGAGAAGAAAGGATACGACAATTTTTAAGAAGCATTATTACTATTTTAAAATGGCATTATTTTGGTGTAGACTGAAGGAGAATTTATCTAATTTCTGCAAGAATGCTGTACTGTTATTGAGTTGCAGTAAGGATTGCTAGACTCTTAAAATAACTTATGTTTTCTGAATACAGTTTAATAATGAGTATGTTTATTTTATTCTACTTAATATATTCAACACTATCTAGTGATATTGGTATGATAAAACATTTATGTTTGTAGATAGGATTGAGGTGATTTTTTTAATAGAATTGTTTAAACATATTGATAGGTTTTTAGATTTACTGAGATAAAATGCCTCTTATTGGTTAAAATGGAACATATTTTCCCATTTGGTGGTTTTAAAGACCCAGAAAACTGCTCTGGACAAATACTTGAGATTCTTCATTGTATGGACAGAGACCAGAGCTTCCAGTTACACAGTCCACGAACACCATTGCAAAAGATTTGAAGAAAACACGTTGTACCATTGTGTAAATAAATATTGTTTCCCACAGGAATGAAGAGGGAATGGTTAGAAAGGAGGTGTAATGCCGCTTTTTTTCCCTTGTTTGGGTTTTGCAGTGGATACTGCTCAACTAAACCAGAAGATTGGAGATGTCATTGTTTTAGGATTCTGTGTGCAACTCGAAGCAGAAGTTTCTCATTCTAACAATATCTTTAGTTAAATGAAAAACATAGCAATTAAATGTTAAAATTCAATCTTCTAGTAGATACCTGACTGAATTTTATGTTATTATATTTAAAGGTGAAAAAAATTGATCCAAGCCTATATGAAAAATTTAAATGCCATTATTTTGGAGATGAAATTCTGCACCGCCTAGATCTTTGCTCCATGCTGAAGAAAAAGCAGCCTAATGGTTATTACTACTGTGAGTCCTCTATCATTCTTGGTAAGTATCTCCTTTTTCCTCCATTTTCCTTTTGCATCAATCGCATCTGTAAGTTTAATGCCTGGAAGTCCATTATTTTTGGAGTGTATTCTAGGCAGCTAAAGCTTATGCTGAACTGTCAATCCCCAGTATCTTAAAATGACTGTTTAAGATGTGAGGTGTGTCACCCTTGGGGGCTGCATGTCTCCCTCTGTTTACTATAAAGACATCCTATGTTAAATTAGACACACTAATTGTAGGTGTTTAAAGCTACATGAGAGGTCTTTGGTTTGGCAGAGAGGCGACCTCACTTGGTCTGTATTTGTACAGAGAGAGAATTTCAATGATACAACAGATTTCATAGGAACTGCTCAGACTATCTTCAAGATTTCAAGCATAGATACCCTTCCTCGATCATTATAGTCTCAGAAATTACAGTTGTGGTCTCCTGCTTTGTCTGAACAGAAGTTTCAGATTTCTGTGACCAGTATTCTAGGCTTGTTTTCTTATTTCTGCCACAGGTTATATATGATTCGCTCTTCAGGTGGTGTCTCAGGTGGTGGCACTGAGAGGCCATGGGCTGATATCCTGTATAATAAACCCCTCTGGGATGGTTAGTTCCCACTAGCTGATAATGGAGCTTGGGATTGCTATTAGTCATAATGGGAACAGGGAGACTTCAACACGGGCTAAAACACTCCTTAGTCTAATAGGCAGATTTTTTAATTATTTTTTTTAACACAAAAGTCAAAATGTTTTGCATTCCAACAAGCAGATCATTCACAGAATCCATATTTTCCCTCTCCAAACCTTAGTAGTCTTATTAGTGAAAATATTCATGACTAAGGAATGATCATATCCTTAGAAGGAAAGGACAAACGATGCAGCGTTGGAGATACCTTCCAAGGCCACTGCTTCCATCAGCTTTCTGGACAGAAACATCTTCACTGCAGTCTCTAGACAGCTTAAAGGAAAATCATATCTGCTTCTCTAAGGGATAAGAAATCTGAAAAAGGTGTAAGCTTCTATTTGTTATGAAGGTTCTTTGTCCATCTCTGAATTATGCAAAACCTTTGAAGGTGTGAGGAACATAAATATGGAAAACTTCTGAGCCAGACACCTCATTTGAACACATTCTTCCAGTCCAGCTGATTCTGATGGAAAGATCAAACTTTCAAAGGATTTTTAATTGACAGAAATACATAAGCATAATGCATTTTTTCTTAAAAGGCATTACAAATGCATTGCAAATGCACTACAGATACGTTTTTGCAACATCATAAAAGGTAACTATGAACTAATGTATCTCATCTTCCATTTTTCTAGCCCCACTTCAGGATTTTTTTTCACTTCTTTATGCTCTGAGGACTCCTAAGGTTCTGTTTAAGGCTTTGGAGTTGTCTTGCTTTGAGACTTAAGCCTTTCCCTATTTCATCTAAAGCATAGGAGGTGGAAATGCTGCTGGTCTTGAGGGACTGTTTTGAGGATTTATTGCTCAGTATCTATACAATGCTTTAAACGTCTCAGGCACTTTGCAAATATGATTTTTTTTCTGTTTAATGTTTTTGTTGGCACTTAAGTCCACCCTTATTTATATTATGTAGAGTGTTACAAAACAAATAGAAAATACTGCCTGCAGTAGATGAGAAAAGCTGTGTAGGATGTTTCTGCTTGGATTTGTGACAACATTATTGCAGAATGCAGATCAGTCAACATCATAGCAATGTATATATATGTGTGGATATGTAGCATATTTATTACCTTGTTATGTACATCTCAGTCTTCATATATATAGTTATTTGTTTATCTCTGGGTGTATATACATCCATATGGACAGATAAAAGAAGGAAATATAAATTTTCTATATAATATCTTACGCACACACTTGCACATTCAGATGTGTATTTATAAGTATCCAAGTGCTTAGGGAAAGCAAAATTACAAGATTATTTATCATAGTATAATTTTTTTCTTTGAGATGAAATTGAGGCTCCACTATCTACAAATATATTTCAAAATATTTTAGAATGTTTGTCTGATTAAGTAATTTGGTAAATAACACATTCCAAATAGAAGCTGTTTAGCAGTAGGCATTGGTAGGATTTTTTTCAAATGTTTATTTAAATCTCTGTTCTTCTTGAGCTGTCTTATTAGTGACATCTCAGAATGCTATAATGAGACAGCCAGTTTTTCAGCTGTCTTTTAAACATGAGTCTCATTAAATGATTTATAACAGCTGTCAATCAACTGGTATTCATAGCAAGAGTCAGATACTTGTTTGGCTTTAACTCAACCATGGTGTGACAATGCCTAAAGAATTTATGGAAAGTGTTATTTAGCAACCTGCAACAGTTATTTCTGAATTATTTCAACATAGTTATTCCTGAATTATTTTTTGTGAAAGTCCTGTGTCTGGCTTTCTGTGGCCATCATATTTAACTAGATATTCTTCACTAATACTGCAGTAAGAAAGTGTAACATTATTATCCCCCCTTGCCCCTTCTCAGTGCTATATGAACATAGATGCAGCATGCAAAAATGCACGCATTTTATTTTTCCTGGTTTTGTGCACATTAGTGTTTTTATGTAAAGGCAATAGGAGAGGGCAAACAGGATGTTGAAACAGATTTTAAATGTCTTTCTCTTCAGAGAAGGAATAACTATTTTAAGAAGTGTCCAAAAAGTCATTGTATTTTATAATGTTTTGAATAGGGACTTCTATTAACTATATATTATAAGGGTGTTAAATTAGCCACAGGAGGGAGCTCATGCAGTTCTATTAATACATCAGAAATAGTGAAATCTGTGAATTAGCTTAATACAGACAAAGCATTGTATCTAACTCTAGTTCCTTCTCAACTCAGGAAGTTCTCTTTTCTCATGAAATTTTTGAGACAATATAAGAATGATATTTGCTTTTTATTACCTAGATTTTGGGCCAGACTTCAAGGGCATGTGATAAAGATAGAAAGGTTGAAGAATTTGGGCCAGACTTCAAGGGCATACATGTGATAAAGATAGAAAGGTTGAAGAAGAGAATCCATCTAATAATAAAAGGAAAACAGAAATCTGTACACAGTGAAGAGCTGCATGCTACCATGGCTATTAAACACTTACCCGCTTGGTTGCTAAGTATTTTAAAAACATGCTTAAAAATAATAGAAGGTGTAAAAACTTGGTCTGGGTAAGGGCAGGGGTGCAATGTGCAGAGCTGCAGCAGAACGTTGCAACAGGGAGATGGGTTTTGGCCATGTGCTGCAGAGGAACATGCAGCAGAGCTGCAGGCAGCTACCGCAGCGCGCGGGCCAGCTCCGCACGGGGAGTATCCTCGAGGGAACGCTGGGTGCGATGGTGAGCGTGAGCCTTCATCCCCCACGCGTTGCCCTTGTAAACGAGGCAAACAACAGGCCACCAAAGTGTCCCTCTTCACACAGGCTGCTCGTGGCACCTAGTGTTTGTCACCGCAGATCCCGCAGAAGAACAGCGAGCCCTGGAATGAGTTTGTGATATCTGCTCCTCTGCCTGCATGGCACATCAGTTCTTTATGGCACAGTGAAAATGCTCAATAGGAGAACGCCCATCAAGGGAAGCAATATGTAAATCTTCATTGCTTTTAGCTATGGCTAAATCTACTATGCCTTTAGCATTAAGTGTCCCACTTAAACATCCTCAGCATCCATGCATTAATTGTTTTGTAGATTTGTGTTTGACCGTGTGTTTACATAATATAATGTATTATGAATTATATACACATGAGAGCAAACTATCACATGCCAAGCTGCATTCAGCCTTTAAGCCATGAGAAGCTTTTCTTGCGTGACCAGTAAGGAGAAAGTTATATATCGAGTTTCCTGTGTGCTCTCTCGGAGGCAGAAGAACTTCCATAAGAGTCAGTTCCTAGTGGAAAGCCCCCAGCAGCCAACTGTTTCTCGCTGAGCAGCCGGAACTGATGTATCTGGAAGGCATGTCGTGCTGGAGGGTGAAGTGCTGTTATAGTTTCCCCTTAACCCTTGCAGTCTCGCATGAGAAATCTTTAACATTGAAATGGCAGACTGCAAGCATCTAGTTTATATGGGAAAAAAAAGAGTGTAATATGGTTAAAGGTTATGCTCCTTGCTGTCTACATAATTTACAAAACAGATCCCTTTTTAAGTAAGAGAACATTTGGTGGGTCAGTTTACATTTCATTTGAGCTATGTACAAGTTTTAGCTGTTTAGTCTGACCTTGGATCCCTAAAGTGAGAGTGAAGAGCACCATGGGTTTCAATGGAAGGAGTAGGTGTGCTTTCCAGGCAATTGCAGTTGCCAACTGCTGATTACATGTGAGACAAAACATCTGCAGCAGACTGACTGGTGATTACATTTTAAAAACATTTTTCCCTAGCAAATTTTTACAACTAATTAAGAATGAAGTATTGCTTTTACCAGATGCACAATGCAATAATAGATTTAGTATGATAACGCTTATATATATTACATAGATATATATACACGGATTAACTACATGTTAAGTCTCATGATCCTAGCAATCTTATTATCCATTATCCGTGAAATTTATATTCTCTGTTGGCTTCTAAAAATGATTTTTAAATGTTTCAAGGTAGACTTGATGGCGTGTCAAAATATATTCAGTTTATTAGCTGTTTTTGAGATTTACTAAGTCAAACATATTTCTGAGAGCAAAATTATTTTTTTACAAAATGAAGTGAAAAGGAAGCATGCTGATGAATTCTCATGAATTAAGCCTTTGACTGGAAGAGGATTTTTTTTTTGATTTGCACGGGCCCTTTTGTACTGCTGGAAATGAATACTAAAGTTTCTATCCTTCTTTTTATGGTTGTCTTTATTCATAATATCAGTAACAGCTTCCTGGCAGGGAAAGATGATCATTCAGATAGGAGGACCCAGTTCAGGAAATAATTTTAATTGGTCAAAACCATTATCTTCATTTTCACTTTAAAGACAATATGTTGCCAGTTTATATCTTACAGTGTAGGCAAAGGGTGCTAAAAAGCTGGTCT